AAAAAGGAAGATAGAGAAGAAGAAAGAAAGTGAAGGAAGGGGAAGTAGACGGCGAGGGTGACGAAGGTGAAGGTGCCGGCAGCCATAGCCGAGGTGAGGGGTTGACCGGGCGTTGACCAGAGGGTTGACCAAGGGTTGACCAAGGGTTGACCAGAGGGTTGACTAGGCGTTGACCAAGGTGGTTGACCAAGCGTTGACTCGAGGTTGTCCGCGTTGACTCAGCGTTGACCAAGGCGTTGACCGGAGCTGCTGACCAAGATTTTGACCAAGCTGGAGTTGGTGATATCTCGCTGAGCCCTTAGTCTATCCCCTTGCCCTGTGGATGTGCACCTACCCCACGATACTTGCTGAGTCTGTCTGTGCACTCTTTCTGCATTGAGTCTCTTCTGTCCTAGGTGCTAGGACTCTGTGGATGAAGGATAGGGCCTTGCTGCCAAACCTGCACGGGACTTAGTAGGACTAAGCTCTAATCTAGCATCTGGAGACCTGGGCATGAGCGGCGAGCGCTCGTTAAACAACTCGTCTAGCCCAATGACCGGTACTGTCCGGCATGTCTACTAAGTTCAGTGTAGAGGGTCTGAACTCCGAGCTGCAGGCTGAAACGAAGGTCGTCTTTAAGTGTTGAGGCCTGGTTGAACCACTCCCCTACCGGACCTAGTAAGGCTGATGATYTGTGTCTGAYGACTCGWCTGTCCCGAGGGATACGAACCCCTCCAAGGACCGGTACAGACCGGCGGGCTGCTCGGTGTGGCACAGTAGGCCGGAACGGCTGAGTTGTGGGCTGAAATCGCCAGGAAGAACTACGCTGATCACGTCGTCCTGACTGCGACGTTAAAGAATTCTTGAGGGATCTCCTTAAATGCCTCCTGATCAGCTGTTAGTTCAGTAGTGACAGCCTTAAGAGTAGTTGTGAGCAGTGGATCCTAGAGAGTCAGTCAGTAAGTCAATGTGTCCGGGTAGGTCTAAGTGGTGAGGAGTGGGACATTGTCGTGCACCTAACACCACGATGGATGACTATCCGATGTATGGGATGCTTGTTGGGTTCTCCCTCTGGGGGACCCTCTGGCGTCTCCTCTTTCCTCTGGGGTTCTGGCACGCGATGACGTGTAGAGTAGACACCCGGGGTGGTACTTCCACCAAGCCATATTCGAAGGAGGAGGAGGAGAAGATGGCCGCCATTCTGAGGGAAAGGAAGGAGAAGAGAGAGGCCAAGAAGAAGGCCCTACCGGAGGAGCAGGCGGCCAAGTTGAGAAAGATCGAGGAAGAGATGGCCAGAGAGAAGGAGAGAATCATGAAGGAAGAGGAGGCGAAATTGAAAGAGGTGGACGAGGAAGAGGAGGAAGGACCGCCACTGCAAAGGAGGAGTGGACAGCACAGTGGCAGCAAAGACGAGGAGATGGAGAAACGGATTTCGAAGTGGGTCGCCAACTTATCCTTGGGTGAAGAGGAAGAGGTTGCGATGTACATCCCCAAGGATGAGCAAGAAGCCGCTATGAAAAAATGGGAAGCAGAAGAAGATGTTCTGACGCGGCGGGCGATGGAAGATGAATAGAGGATGGCGTGGAAGCTCGCAATGATGAGGGAGAAGAAGAGAAGAGTGGAGGCGGCGAATGCAGCAATACAGGAATTGGAGGTGCAGAAATTGAGTTTACAGTTGACACCCCAGGTAGATCTCCAGCGAAAGGTGGAAATCATCGCCCAGAGCGTCGAGCGTTTAGCCGAAGTGCAAGAAAAGCACTATGAGTTTAGTCGCAGCCAGGTGATATCGGTGCGTTCGATGCAAACGGGATTACGGGACTTTGCTCGCGAGTTAGTAGGCGCTGTGGGGTCCGAGGTGAGTCACCCCCTCGAGAAGACTGAGCGTTTTTGTGTCGGCGCCATTGAGGGCGTCAAGGTGGCAGCTCCCAAGGATGAGGAGGCTCGTCCTCGCAGGGAGCCAGTCAAAGTCAAATTCCCTGATTCCTACAGTGGAAAAAGGGAAGAGAACTTTGACAATTGGGAGGCCAATGTCAGGACCTATGTGCATCTGCAACAAGTCCTATGTGCATCTGCAACAGGTCTCCCCGGATCAGCAGGTCCTAATTGCGATCCACGCACTTAAGGATGAGGCCGCCAGTTTCGCAAGGTCCCTTGTTCGTGCTGCCAACTGCAGTGACGATCCGGTTGCGTACTCCACATTCACCCCCCTCGTTGAGTTCCTAAAATTGCTGCGCGAGCGATTTGTTGATGTCGCTCGTAGTGTTAAAGCGCCAGATAGGCTGCAGACGATCCACGTCCGCAAGTGGAAGAGTGCCAGGGCACTCAAGGGTACGATGGATGAATTGGTGGCCACTCCTGACCATGGGGTCACAGAGGCCCAATTGGTCAATCTCTTCTATTGGGCAATGCCCGAGGCTTTTCGAGGGCAGCTCTTTGCAAAGAGCGAAGACCCTGCCACCACTTACGATTCTCTTAGCCGTGAGGTGGTGGTTTTTGAAGCTAAGTCTGTGTCCCTGTCTACCTCCTGGCACAAGGACTTAGACAAAGGGAAGCAATGGAAAGGCCGCACTATCTCAGGGCAGGTAAAGACCAAGGACAGCCTTGTCCTGACCTTAGACGAGGGTATTGTGGATGAGATCCCCTACGAACAGATAGTGGGGGTTAGAGGAAGAGGACAGTGGTGTGGGCCAGGGGAGGACTTACGCTGCTGTCGCGGCTGGAGGGAGGCCGCAAGGAGGACGAGGCCAGGGCCAAGGGGGCCGGGCCTCAGGAACCGGTTTCAGGGCGAACAGGGGATTGGCGGCAGAGGAGGAAACCACCAAGCAGGAGGCAGGGGTCAAGGTCCCCTGCAAAACCGTCCTAGGAACAGGTCTCCCTATAGGGTAGGAGGATGGCACCCGGGGCTACCGCAGGGTAGGCCTTGGGAAACTTTGGGTCTGGACCAAACTTTATGGCAACAACGATTGGACCGGGGCCAGTGCATTTTCTGCGGTGACCCGGGCCACATCATCAAATACTGTCCTAAGTATCGAGAGACCCGAACGGCTGCCCAAGGGCCAAAAGGCAGCCGCCGGTAGGGGTAGCAACTGCCCCTACCATTAGGCCATGTGGGGAACATAGCGCTAGCCGGCAGGAGACTTCCACACCACATGTGCCTATGGCAGAGGTTGCAGGCCGGTGTCTAGACAGTTGTCCAGAGACTGCTTGTGTTAGGGTCTCTCTAGACACCTCCCTCACAAGCGTGGCCGAAGAGTTGAAGGAGAGGAGGCCGCCTGGGCCAAGATGAGGAAGGAGAATAAAGGGCAACTGATCTTATTAGATGTAGAGATTTTTAGAGGGAGAGTAGGGGCCCTAGTAGACTCAGGAGCCACCCGCAACTATATTAGTAAGAAAGCGCTGCAGAAGTTGAAGCTGGGACTTAAAGTCCAAAAGCTAGCAGACCCTATAGTTAGCATCCTCGCAGAAAATTGTACTATGGTTGTAGAGGAATATGAAGAGGGAGTCCAAGCGTATTTCCGCCTAGAGAAAGATGGGAAAGTGGAAAGGGTCCTCCACTCCCTGACTCTCCTCGTAGAAGACAGCCTCCCATTCGATATTGTCCTGGGAATGGATTGGGGAGAGGCAGCCGGGGCCACGCTCCATTTGAAGGAGCACGAGTGTAGGCTCCCTAGTTCTTCAGGCGAGGCCAAGACTGCCCGCCTGTTTCATGTGTCAGGCGTAGAGAATCCCTTGGCACATTGCTGTCTTAGTGCCCCTGCGTTCGCCAGGTTGGTGAAAAAGGAGAAATTGGAGGAACAGGTTTTTGTTGCCTATGTTAGGCCAGTGACTGAGCCTACGGAAGAAAAGTCGATGGACCCTGCAACTGCCAAGCTGCTGGAAGAGTTCAAGGATCTAACTGAGCCGCCGATAGGAGTGGTACCGCGGCCCATCCAGCACCGCATTGAGATAGAGCCCGACAGTAGAACTCCTAAGGGCGCTGTGTATAGGATGTCCCCACGGGAGTTAGAGGAGCTTCGCAAGCAGTTAGACGAGCTCCTCGAGAAGGGTTGGATTAGACCCAGTTCGTCTCCTTTCGGAGCGCCTGTCCTCTTTGTTCCTAAGAAAGAGGGAGAGTTGAGAATGTGCATAGACTATAGGGGTCTGAATGCTATTACAGTGAAGAATGTTGAGCCACTGCCAAGGATAGACGATCTCTTAGATCGAGTGCAGGGGGCCAAGTATTTCTCTAAGATACATTTAAAGTCCGGATATCATCAGATAGAAGTACATCCTGATGATCAGTATAAGACAGCCTTCCGGACTAGGTACGGGCATTATGAGTTTATAGTGATGCCCTTTGGACTAACCAATGCGCCAGCTACGTTCCAGCGCTGTATGTACGATTTGTTTAGGCCGTGGTTGGATAGATTTGTTGTAGTGTACCTAGATGACATTCTAGTGTTTAGTAAGACCCTCGACGAGCATCAGGGTCATCTCAGGCAGGTCTTGGA